CCTCTCCGCTGTGACTAAGTCTGAGGATGCATGTTGGAGTCCGGCTGCAGTTGTGACAGACCAGGACAGAGGAGTTGGTATAAATCCTGGAAGTGTGTTGTTTTGTGTGATGTGTTTTATTTTGAGTAGAGGGATGACATGATTAGCTCTCTTTTAGAAAGGCTTCTCTGAAGATATCCTCAAGTGTGAATGAAAGGAGGCCGTCCTGGAGGCAGGGAGACCCAGTCAGGAGGCCTGAGGCAGCCAGCTGCACTAGACAGGGAGCCCACACCAGGTGGCCAGTGGACTTGAAAGTAGGAACGTATATGAGAGACACCTTTGATACAGTATTGAAAAGGTGTAGACATGTACTGCGTGTAGGTGGTGAAGACTAGGGAGGAGTCCCTGGTGAACCTGAGATGCTTGGAAGGGGCACTTCAGCGTATGGTGATGTTCCACGTAGAGACAGGAAGAATAGCTAGTAGGTTTAGAAATTTAGATTTAGAGTGTTTTTATATCTAGAAAAGAGGAAGAGATTAAAAACAAATTTAATAAACTTTTAAAAGTTTATTATGACTTGAGAGAAAACATTGAAATGTGTTTTTATTTTGGATTTTTCTAAATTTCACCAGCTTTTGTGCTTGTGGGGACAAAAGGGTATGGCTCATTGCCACTATTTGAAAACGTCTTTAATTTGGTTTTGGAATTAATACATCTTTGTTTCCACACATAGTTCTTGGGGGATTTTAGATGCCTTACACATGAATCATTTAAGATAAATGGCTTTGAGATACTGTTGTATTTTATTTGGCTCAGAAAATACACCTGCATGAAATTGAACATTCTTATTCTAACACAGTAAGCTGCCTTTCCTTTGTAAAAGGGAAAATCAGACCATTTGAAAAATAACTCCCCTTTCAGGGACTGACAGCATCATTTTCTCTCTTTCTTTTTCCGTTTTTCTTTTCTGTGAAAATTCTTTTTGATGGTCATCGACCCACTTGGCAGAGTGCCTCCTTTTTTAATTCTCTGTGCAACTATGCTCATGAGCTAGTCAGCTCTCTTAAAATCACCAGCAAAGAAACCTTTGGTTCCCTGGTTTAGGGATACTTTTCTGGCACATCAAATGATGTTCCCAGTTTAAAATAGGACTTCTGGTCCAGGCATTCTAGAATGTGATAATTGCTTCCCTGAATTTCTGTAGGCTTTGATAGTAAGAGATGAAAACTTAAAATAAATTGGATTTCATACTTTTGACAAATGTATTGGGTAGATAAATTATCCTATAGGAAAATGGACAAAAGTCTTTTGTGGAGTTAAGTTCTCTTTACTGTATTTAGGGTTACAAGGGTAGAGTTATATTGATGTGAGGGATTGAACTGGTCCCAGGCATCATATGTGATTTTTTTTTAAGATTTTATTTATTCATTTGAGACACAGAGATAAAGAGAGAGCATGAGCGGGGGGAGAGGCAGAGGGAGAGGGAGAAGCAGGTTCCCCGCTGAGCCAGGAGCCCGATATGGGGCTCGATCCCACAACCCTGGGATCATGACCCAAGCCGAAGACAGACGCTTAACCATCTGAGCCACCCAGGCGTCCCCATCATATGTGATTTTTATGCAGAGTTTTTTTAATGGTACTTACATTATCATTCAGTATTTCTTTACTTAACTTGATATTTTGGAAACAAACGAACAAACCTAGAACCATTCGCCTGAAACATAATGTGTGTTGGTGTGGTAATGGTGTCTTCAAGATGGTTGCCATCCCTTTTTTCCCTTCTTGCATGCACATGCTGCTTTTTACATCCACAGGTAGAATCTAACTTCCCTTCCTTTGAATGTGGGCTGGCCACAGTGACTTGCTTGACCAATAATAGAATGCAGCAGAGTTAATATTCTAGGAGCTCAGAGGCTCCATCCTAAGAAAGCTTGTAACTTTTGCCTGTGTCTCTTGGAACCATGCTGTGAAGACCACAAGTCCTGTGGAGACGTCACAGATAGGCACTCCACACAGCAGCCAACATGAACTGCCAGCCATGTGAGTAAGCCATTTTGGACACCTGGCCTATTTGAACCTTCAAATGACTTTAGCTATAGCCAACCGACTGCAATTATAAGAGAGACTGAGAACTGATGTCTCTGTAACAGTCAGCTCTCAAAACCATGTCAGTCCACATTCAGTCCACAAACCCAGTCCACAAAACCATGAGAAATAACTATTTACTTTATGTCACTAGGTTTGGGGATGGTTTATTACGCATGGGTCAGTAACTGGAACAAGTGCTAAATATTGCACAATGCTGAATAAGTACAATTTTAATTGTATTATATGCTTCTGCATTTTCAAGTGGTTGACATTTCTGGACAAAGTGCTAAAGTAAGCACATACAATTATGTTCTTAAGCATAAGTTAGCTGTTGGATCATGATAGCATCATTTAGCAATGGGAACTATGTTTTGTAATTGGAAAATATAATTTTTAAAATATGGTTTAAAAAATAGTACTAACAATTGTTTATAAAGGGATATGCTGCTCTGAAAAGGATTTTAGAAACCAAGAAATGTGTGAACTTTAAGACTCTCATGATACTTATATACTACTTAAGTACTTTGGATTCAAAGTCTGATGGCAAATCTGCTTATGTAATACTGAAATTTATATAAATGAGCTAAATTAAGAGCTTTCCTTTAAATAGTTGGCCTTGTAATTGGTGGGATATTGGGACGGCTAAAGTGAATAGGCTCATCACCATCCTAACATTTTCTCTGGGATATGTTTGAGAAAGTTAAATGACAACCAAAGAGTCTGAAACAGGTTACCTGGCAGAGTTATGATCAGGAATGCTATCTGTTTGGGGGCCTCTGGTGTGTAATTCTTGCCTTTAGAGCTGGTCCTCTGGCAAACACAATTATGGGTAGTCTCCGCTCACATGTAATGATCATGAATAGACAGCTGGGACATCCCCTGTTTAGGACTTTCTTCCTGATTAGGACACTTTCTGACTGAAGCTGTTTAAAGTGCACAAACCTCAGTTTTTGAATTTAACAAACTTACTGTTATAATTTGTTCATATGTTTCTCTTGTTTAGACCTTGACTTCCATGTGGACAGAAATCTTCCAGCTCTTTTTCCTTAGTACCTGTGGGCCTGTCTTCTAGTAGTTATCAGACTTTTGAATGAATGAAGTAAAATGATATCAGAAGTGAACTATATTAATTTACCAACAAACCTATAGCTAAATAAGATATATGAATTCATTCATTCATTTATTCAGCAAACATTTGTTGAAGGACTACAGGGTGCTACAAACTGAGTATACAGCAATAAACAATTCGACCATTATCCCTACCCTCAGTGAGTTTGGAGCCTGTTTATGATAAGAAGTGTAATTCTTGCTTAATCAGCCATTCCTTCTCATACTCAAAAGGTATGAGAAGACAAGAGCATTTGCATTTAGCAGATATTTGTGATAGTGCCCACTATGTGCCAGAAACTGTCATGTCACAAGAAAGATGAACATATGATCTCACTGATATGTCCATCAAAAAAGATGAACATATGATCTCACTGACATGAGGAATTCTTAATCTCAGGAAACAAACTGAGGGTTGTTGGAGTGGTGGGGGGTGGGAGGGATGGGGTGGCTGGGTGATAGACATTGGGGAGGGTATGTGCTATGGTGAGTGCTGTGAATTGTGCAAGACTGTTGAATCACAGATCTGTACCTCTGAAACAAATAATACATTATATGTTAAAAAAAAGAAGAAGGAGATAGTAGGAAGGGAAAAATGAAGGGGGGGAATCAGAGGGGGAGACGAACCATGAGAGACTATGGACTCTGAGAAACAAACTGAGGGTTCTAGAGGGGAGGGGAGTGGGGGGATGGGTTAGCCAGGTGATGGGTATTAAAGAGGGCACGTTCTGCATGGAGCACTGGGTGTTATACACAAACAATAAATCATAGAACACTACATCAAAAACTAATGATGTAGGGCGCCTGGGTGGCTCAGTTGGTTAAGCGACTGCCGTCAGCTCAGGTCATGATCCTGGAGTCCCTGGATTGAGTCCCGCATCGGGCTCCCTGCTCGGCAGGGAGCCTGCTTCTCCCTCTGACCCTCCCCCCTCTCATGTGCTCTCTCTCTCTCTCTCATTCTCTCTGTCTCAAATAAATAAATAAAATCTTAAAAAAAAAAAAACCTAATGATGTAATGTGTGATGATTAGCATAACATAATAAAATAAGATTAAAAAAAAGAAAGATGAACAATAAGGGCATTATTTTAAGTCATAAACAATAACAGGTGTGCAAAGTGATGGAGTGGAAAAATAGCAGGTCCCAAGTGTATAACCGGCACCAAGCCTAGTCCTGAGGTCCTGGTGCCTTTGTCATGGCTCTCTCCTGTGTCTCGCTGGACCTTCTTTGTTGTGTTGGTGTCTGCCATTACATCAGCATCTCTGCCTTTCCCTAGGTTACAGTGAGTGGGAGGCAATTCTTTCTGTCTAGGTAGCAATGGATGACTATAGACCTGTTGCTCTGTGCTTCATGTACCGTGTTGATGTACACTGGGCCAGCATTTCCCTGGTTGCCCTCTGGGGCCATTCTTGTTATCTGGCTCTAAAGACTTCATTCTTAGAGGTCTGTTTGCTGAAGAGGGAAGCTAGAAGTCTGTGGTCCTCTGATGGAGCCATACTCCTCTGTTTACCTACCCTGACATACCTGGCCAATGAAGTTCAGGTGGGCCGTGCACCTCGAGCTACAGCATAGACCAGGTACAGTCCTTCAAGCTTCAGCCTCATCTCCCACTGCTCATTGTTCATTTAAGACAGCATTTGGATGGAGATGAATGACAACAGTCTTATTAGGGAATAACATTAAAACCCAACTCATTTGCACAAAAGAAACTAAATTTGCAAAGTTTAGTACTTTGTTAGTAATGAGAAATCATTTTACAAATAAAATATATCACTGTGCCAAGGAATTGAGGTTGTAACCATTGATCTAAAAGTTGTCTCTTTTAAGGAAAGTCGGGAAGAACTCAAATACATGGAGGCTAAAGAGCATCCTACTAAAGAATGAATGGTCAACCAGGAAATTAAAAAAGAATTAAAAAAATTCATGGAAACAAATGAAAATGAAAACACAACTGTCCAAAATTGTTGGGATGCAGCAAAGGCAGTTCTAAGAGGAAAGTATATAGCAATACAAGCCTTTCTCAAGAAACAAGAAAGGTCTCAAATACACAACCTAACCCTACAACTAAAGGAGCTGGAGAAAGAACAGCAAATAAAGCCTAAACCCAGCAGGAGAAGAGAAATAATAAAGATCAGAGCAGAAATCAATGAAATAGAAACCAAAGGAACAGTAGAACAGATCAACAAAACTAGGAGCTGGTTCTTCAAAAGAATTAATAAGATTGATAAACCCCTGGCCAGACTTATAAGAAAGAAAAGAGAAAGGACCCAAATAAATAAAATCATGAATGAAAGAGGAGAGATCATAACCAACACCAAAGAAATACAAACAATTATAAGAACATATTATGAGCAACTCTATGCCAGCAAATTAGATAATCTGGAAGAAATGGATGCATTCCTAGAGATGTATAAACTACCAAACTGAACCAGGAAGAAATAGAAAACCTGAACAGACCTATAACCACTAAGGAAATTGAAGCAGTCATCAAAAATCTTCCAACAAACAAGAGCCCAGGGCCAGATGGCTTCCCAGGGGAATTCTACCAAACATTTAAAGAAGAATTAATACCTATTCTTCCGAAAATGTTCCAAAAAATAGAAATGGAAGGGAAACTTCCAAACTCATTTTATGAAGCCAGCATTACCTTGATCCCAAAACCAGACAAAGACCCCATCAAAAAGGAGAACTACAGACCAATATTCCTGATGAACATGGATGCAAAAATTCTCACCAAAATACTAGCCAATAGGATCCAACAGTACATTAAAAGGATTATTCACCATGACCAAGTGGGATTTATCCCTGGGCTGCAAGGTTGGTTCAACATCCACAAATCAATCAATGTGATACAATTCATTAATAAAAGAAAGAACAAGAATCATATGATCCTCTCAATAGATGCAGAAAAAGCATTTGACGAAGTACAGCATCCTTTCTTGATTAAAACTCTTCAGAGTGTAGGGATAGAGGGTACATACCTCAATATCCTAAAGGCCATCTATGAAAAACCCACAGCGAATATCATTCTCAATGGGGGAAAAATGAGAGCTTTTCCCCTAAGGTCAGGAATACAGCAGGGGTGTCCACTGTCACCACTGCTATTCAACATAGTATTGGAAGTCCTAGCCACAGCAATCAGACAACAAAAAGAAATCAAAGGCATCCGATTCGGCAAAGAAGAAGTCAAACTCTCACTCTTTGCAGATGATATGATACTTTATGTGGAAAACCCAAAAGACTCCACCCCAAAACTGCTAGAACTCATACAGGAATTCAGTAAAGTGGCAGGATATAAAATCAATGCACAAAAGTCAGTTTCTATACACTGACAACAAGAGAGAAGAAAGAGAAATTAAGGAGTCGATCCCATTTACAATTGCACCCAAAACCATAAGATACCTAGGAATAAATCTAACCAAAGAGGCAAAGAATCTGTACTCAGAAAACTATAGAATACTCATGAAAGAAATTGAGGAAGACACAAAGAAATGGAAAAACGTTCCATGCTCATGGGATTGGAAGAATAAATATTGTGAAAGTGTCAATGCTACCTAGCACAATCTACACATTTAATGCAATCCCTATCAAAATACCATCCACTTTTTTCAAAGAAATGGAACAAATAATCCTAAAATTTGTATGGAACCAGAAAAGACCCCGAATAGCCAGAGGAATGTTGACAAAGAAAAGCAAAGCTGGTGGCATCACATTTCCGGACTTCCAGCTCTATTACAAAGCTGTCATCATCAAGACAGCATGGTACTGGCACAAAAACAGACACATAGATCAGTGGAACAGAATAGAGAGCCCAGAAATGGACCCTTAACTCTGGTCAACTAATCTTTGACAAAGCAGGAAAAAATATGCAATGGAAAAAAGAGAGTCTCTTCAATAAATAGTGCTGGGAAAATTGGACAGCCACATGCAGAAGAATGAAACTGGACCATTTCCTTATACCACACACAAAAATAGACTCAAAATGGATGAAAGACCTAAATGTGAGACAGGAATCCATCAAAATCCTACAGGAGAACACAGGCAGCAACCTCTTCGACCTCAGCCACAGCAGCTTCTTCCTAGACACATCACCAAAGGCAAGGGAAGCAAGGGAAAAAAAACCATGAGAGACTGTGGACTCTGAGAGGCAAACTGGGGGTTTTGAAGGGGAGGGGGATGGGAGGATGGGCTGGCCCAGTGACGGGTATTGATGAGGGCACGTATTGAATGGAGCACTGGGTGTTATACGCCAACAGTGAATCATGGAACACTACATCAAAAACTAATGATTTAATGTATGGTACTAACATAATAAAATAAAATTAATTAAAAAAAAAGTCTCTTTTAGATCCCAGGATGTAGGAGAACTTATTTCTTCTGCCAGTGTTTATTATGTATGCTGTGTACCAGAGTTGTGCTATGTACTAGGCATACATGGTTGAATCTATAGTACAAGGTGCCTGGGAGTTTCAGGTAATTTTATGTGATGGATCATGGCATATATAATAATAATAATAATAATAATAATAATAATAATAATAATAATAATAGAGGCTTCCAGGATGAGTAAAGGGGACAGATAAAGAGAGCCACTGAGAAGCCCTAGAAGGTCTGTGGCCTCAGAATTTTGGCTTTGTTAGATTCTGCTAAATACTTTGTTTCTAGCTGATTACTGGCCAGTACCAGCCCCATTCTGATTATCAAATTACTTTGTCCTTAAATCTTAGAGATCTCTTTGTTCTCTGATTCAGTGATCCCTTGGACTCACCTCGGCTTGCCCATAAGTTTTGATTATTCTGCCCAGGGAGTTTGGGGTAGGGATGAAGAAGTGTTTCAGGAAAATACTCCCAGGCTAACCATCACTGGAGAAACAGCAAATCCTTTTCTAGTGGCTTTTTATTAGGATCCATTTGGTCTCTCTTCTTTTTCCCACTGCTTTAGAGCAAGGAATAAAATAACTGTGCCTAAAATCAAAAAGCCTTATTTCCCATCCTCCTTCCAGACCTGACAGGAGAGCTGTTCTCAGCATTTTAAGTGAGCAACTCTTTCCTGCCCCAGTAGAGTACACAAAGACAGATGTAAGTGCTTTTTTTTTTTTTTTTCATCTGTCACATAAATTTCAGTTAGGGACTATTCCCACAGCTGGTATGATATTTTAACTGAGGTATTGATGAAGCTTTGAGTTTACAGGTAATGTAAAATTTGGACAGATTTTCATTTGAAGGGGTTATTTATGAAATATTTGGTTAACTGATTGATATTACCGTTATCCTGAATGATGGGAATAAAATCAGATCCCTGTGTTGTAAAGTTGCAAATACTTGTGATGACATATGGCCTTTCTTGATTATCTCACATAAAGTCTTAAAAATTGAAAACAAAAAGAATTTATCATAGAGGTTTCTGTGATGGTTTCATTTTAACTTTGCTTAACAGTGATTTCAAATATTTGTTGCATATATAGAGGACTCCTGATTAGAGAAACTTCCTTTGACCAGTGTGGAACGTTTCTAATTGCAACTCTTTAAGCTTTAGGAGAGCATATGTTTAGTCTCAGTTGGCCAACTAAATTTTAATGACCCAACTTCTGTGTTATGTGCTGTGTATTCAAGGAAGGGTTAAGAAAAAGTCCTAGCCCTGAAGGACTCTGGACAGAGCATCTGAAGGAGATGATCAGCTAGAGCAAGGCAGGGCCAGTGATAGAAGTATCCCCAGGGTACAGAGGAGAGGCACCTGCCTCACTCTTGGAGAAGAGTGCAGGCCAAGAAAGGTGTCAGGAAACACATGGGAGTTTAGTCTGTGGGAATAGAAAGATCATTCATGAAGTCTCCATGGAATGAAAGGAACATGGCTGAGCAGCAGAACATCTTTCAAAAGGAAACCGAGGAAGGGCAGCCAAAGAAGCTGAAGGAGAACCAGGAGAAAAGAGATGGCATTAAAGCCAAGGGAGAGGAAGTTGTAGCCATACGTATGGTCTTCCTCTTGTAATTCTGTCATCTCCACAAGCATATTACAGGTTCTGGGAAGCCCAGCAGTAAAGACATCTCTTGTGGTTTGTTTAACCTAGCATTTGCCAAGATGGTTTGAGCAGAGTGAGTGAGTGAATGTGTGTGGGGGGGAGGACGTATGTGTGTTCTACTGCATCTCACTGGGGCTAGTGTTCGACAAAATAAATTTGAGAAATGCTGGTCTAATCCCTCCCATGTATGGCTGCCACAGTAATACTTACAAAGGTCTGATTCGATGGTGTGTCTCAGTTACCAAAGAAAACATAACAGAAGCAACCCCAGAGGATCTCTCATTGCCTGTAGACTGGCCCCCAGACAGGGGAGCCCAGGGTGCTCTGTGCCCAACTGGTCATAACACCTGCCGCTCCCCAATGCAGTCCTTCTCCCCCTGAGCACACACACACTCTGGCCTTTGGCCAGTCTGGACGAGGTGTCTTTATCCCAAAGTTCACCATGTTTTTCTGCTTCAGTGTTTCTTGACGGTACAAAGGAAATAATCCTTGTTTTCTGGTCTATTTCTTTTTCACCCTCTCCCCCATCCCACTTCTCCCTGTGGAGATCTAAGCTTCCTAAAGCTCCTGGTCAGGCACCACTTTCTATCCAGCTTTCTCTGCCACCTCTGCCATGGACATACTTTACAGATACATTAATTATACTACATTCATTCTTTTTCTTTTCAGTTTTAGAGCCTAGTTTTCCTTTTCTTTCTTTTTTCCTTAGAACTTATTTAATTTATTTAATCATTCAACAATATAATTTTACATCTTGTAATTTTATAGTTAACCTTATTAGTATTTATATATCTTTTCTATGAAAATGGACTTTCTAAATAGGTCTTCATTGGTGGTGAAGAGACACACTTTCTAAGACTTGTTTTCAGCCACCAGGAGTTTTCTGCATACCCGGAGGGGAGACAGACTCTCACATTATTAAAATGGATCTTCTTTCAGAGACAGGATCCATGTGTATCAGGAGTGTTGGGACATGAAAAATATAGCAGCCCACTTTGCCCAAGGGAGACCAGATAGAGTTCACTGAAGAAGTCAGAATTGGGTCAGAAAACAGGAGAATGAGCTTTCTAGGGAAAGGAGCAGAATTGGGGGTAGGGCATGCCTAATCAATGGAGTGCTGTGTGCAAAGTCATGAAGTTGTGCTTTGTGAGTTGGTGAGAAGATCAGTGGTGGAGCCCATGGTGTATGTTGGAGAGAACTGAGCATAAGGTGGGGGACTAGCTAGTTCCACAAGACCACGAGGAGATTTCTGTGCTGGGACAGGAAAATTTGATTGATTCCATAGGCAGTAATGAGTCAACACAGGCTTTTGTTTCCCAGTGAGGGCATGAAGGAAGAAGAGAAGCAAGAATCCTAGGTGTGTTCTGCTTACAAATACAAAACTGTGAGATAAAAAGTGTTCCCTCCAAGCAACTCTAGCCCCTAAACTAACATTTTTTCATCTTTTATATCAAATTTTTTATACAAAAACTGTCTTTCATATTAAGACTAATAAAATTCTAACTCAATTGCTAAGGCTGTAGTTATTACTGTTCCTACTCGAGAACAAAATATAGGACACAACTGTCTCTTCATTCCCCATGGCATCCTCAGTGGAAAGCCCACATATTGTCTTGGGGTTGCTCTCTCCAGTTGAACTTGTTCCTATTAACGGCTGGGGCAGAGTGGTGTCAGAGAAAAACTTCATCTCCCCTTTTACAGTAATAATGTCATTATTTCGGAGATGTCTACTCAATTCCTTTGTGAATGTGCTGTATCAACAAAGAGTATATGCACAGCAGTTTGCAGATTTAGCTAAAATAAAACTCTATAAATATTTAAGATTTCAGCTAAATGATGATGGCTGCCTTGCTATTATTATATTATCCTTAGACTTTAATAATATACTTCAAGATTTAAAGGAAAGTACATGCTGTGTGAAGTGTATAAAGAGAATTTTTCTTTGTTTTTGAGATAGGCAATATATAATTAATTTTTAAAAGAAATGGGACCATTATTCTTAGAAAAGTAATACATTTTCTATACTCTTTTCTCTCTGAAACAGAATTTTATATTCATCTTGCACTCTATTCAGGGACTATAATTACTAAAGTATCATAAGAATCTTGAAATGAAGGACTATCTATTTATATGAGTTTCCATTAACAGATTTCAAGAACAATGCTATATTGAGATTCATACATAATTTCCTTTCTTCATAAAAATCACCCCAGCTGTATCTTCATAATTTGTGTGCCTTTCTCAACTTTGAATTACATTATTTATGTGTATATTTTGATAATACATAGAAGAAAGCAGGTTAATATAATATAAAAATACCCTTCTTGAATTCTCATTATGAGCCAAGCATTGCGATAAGCAAAATCCAATGACACAGATATAAAATCTCATGTTACAAATGAAGGAAGTAAGGTTTAGAGAGGCTAAGTAACTTGTCCAGTCATACGACTAGTGGGCAGCACAAAGATTGGAAATTAGATGCCTTTATCACTAAAATCTTTATTCCTTTTTACTACATATAAAGAGTTATCAAAATGTTTTAAAGGATTACCTTCCGTATTGTATGAACCCATCTTTTACAAATACTCCAAGAAAACTGGTGCTGAATTCTTATTCAGTTCAAAAACAACTTGTTGCTGCTAAGCACCTTTTAAGTCCACTGCTCTCCTCTCCTTCCCCGTTGCAGGGTCCCCACGGTTTGTGCCGTGAGAATGCGCCAAGAGGACTGTCACAAGGACACTCCTCATCAAAAATTATTCCACGGTACCAGTATGACCTCTGCAGGCATTTTCCCTTCACTTGCACTTTTTAAGCTATTTTCAGTAAAATATTGTTAATATTTTGAAAGCCATCAGGAGGGATGTTTCATGCCCCTTGTAATCCATTTTAATAAGTACAATTTCAGTGTAGGGAGATTTACTCCTCGCGTTTTACCTAAATTCCTCATTTGCAGTTTCTCTGCATCGTTGGAAATTAAAACAGCATTTTCAATGTAAGAACCTTTCAGATCTTTGAAGATCGATTTTCAGCATAATATTTTAGGCTATTTTAGATATATTCCTCCAGGAAGATACATCTAGGCCAGGAATGACTCCCAGTAGGACACATGGTAAGTTGATATCAAGACCAGTGGTCAGGTTGAGTGAATTACGGTTTTGAGGGACCTATTGGGCCTCTCATCCATACTGCCTTCATCCTGAGGAGGTTGTGAATATTTTTTAAACACTTCGATTTCAGTAATTCTAGATATTAGGGTGAAATTTATTTTTAAGTTCATGAAGGAAGCAAGGGGCCTTTAAGATAGAGGTCATTTATTTTGGTTTCAGTTTAAATTATAGTGATGGATATACCCCTTTTCTCCATAAAAGAGGCATTACTCTTTGATTTCTTTATTTTTCACTATAATCTCTGAGGCGGTTATGGTTCCAAGAACATGTGTATCATTACAGTCTGGCCCAAACCATACTTATATTGAAGTGAAAATCTGCTTTCTCTGATAAACATTCTAGCTCTGGCTCTCTCTTTCTATTTATGCTTCAGACTAAATCCTTATTCTCTGTATCAGTTGTGATTCAGTAGAGAGAAAATCGCCTCCTTCTGGGTGTGAGAGTCATAGCTGCTAGGCAGGCTTTAGCCACACTACCCCTGAGGAATATTTAAGTGTGCTGCTTGGAAAATCCCATTTTCCTTCAGTTCTCATCTCAACTTCAGTTCTCAGTTTTAAATTATCTTTTTGGGGGTCACAGACTTGGGTATTTTCCAGTGAGATGATATTTGTTGTGTATATTTTCTGTGTAGTTAGTCTATTCATTTTAGGAAATCCGTAATGCAGATATTATCCTTTCTTGTGACATCTTTTCTTTCCAGAGAGTATTTAAGTATGAATATTAAAAAGTTAATACTATGGGGGAGCCTGGGTGATTCAGTCGGTTAAACTCTTGGTTTGGGCTCAGGTCATGATCTTACCTCAAGGTCATGAGATGGAGCCCCACTGTCAGACTCCACGCTGGGCTCCACACTGTGCTTGGGGCCTCCTTAAGATTCTCTCTCTCCCTCTCCCTCTGCCCCTCTGCCCCTGCGTGCATCCACTCTCTCTAAAAAAAAAAAAAAAAAAAAGTTAACGGGTTTATAGCAGCAATGTCCACAATAGCCAACTATGGAAAGAGCCCAGATGTCCATCAACAGATGAATCGATAAAGAAGATGTGGTGTATATATACAATGGGATACTACTCAGCCATGAAAAAGATGAAACCTTGCTGTTTGCAACAACACGGATGGAACTAGAGGGTATTATGCTAAGCAAAATAAGTCAATCAGAGAAAGACAACTATCATATGATTTCAGTCATATGTGGGATTTAAGAAACAAAACAGATGATCGTAGGGGAAGAGAGGAAAAAATAAAACAAAATCAGAGAGGGAGACAAACCATAAGAAACTCTTAATCATAGGAAACAGACCGAGGGTTGCTGGAGGGTAGGGGGGGGTGAAGGGATGAGGTAACTGGGTGATGGACATTAAAGAGGGCACATGATGTAATGAGCACTGGGTATTATATAAGACTGATGAATCATTGACCTCTGCCTCTGAAACTAGTAATGCATTCTATGTTAATTGGATTTAAATAAAAAATAAAATTAAAAAAATAAATCAGCCAACTAGTTAACAAACAAACAAAAATAAAGTTAAATCCAGGATTCTAATGCCACACAAGGCAGAATATGCAGGAGGGCTGGGTGTTGTTTGCTGGGAAAGTGAAAGATAAGAGTTTCTACAAAAGCAATGAGTATAGCAAATTCTATGATGTCACGTGCTTACAAAACAAAAACAATTCACTTAAAGAATAAACCAATTGGTCTTTTTCTTTTTGTGAATATTTGGATACTACTAGTGTAACTAAATGTTCTCTGAAATCATCATTGCATGGAGTCAGAATATATATTCTGATTCTTTTACATATAACAAATATATGTAAAATAAATATATATATAATGTTTATAATTTTATAAATATATGAAAATAAATATGCTTTTATAATTTTACAAATATATAAATAAAATATAAATATATATGATATTTTTTCAACTTAGTTCCCTATATGATTATATGTTCGAGATTATAGATAGAAATAATAGGAACCAAAATTGAGAACAATTTTTCAATGAATTTTTGTCATGAACTGTTATTTATTTGTACTCTTTTATTATTATTTTTCAAATTTATCTGTACTTTAAAGACCTATCAAACAGAGGTATTGTTTTTTCTAAAGTTTTTCTTTTGCTTCATAAAACTCTGCTTTATAGTGATTGTGATGGTGCTGAGTGTTTGTGGTCTTGATGCCAGATTATACAAGATGCATGGGGCAGATTACTAATTTGAGATTTGGTGTTCTGGAAATCGTGAGGCAGAAGGAAATGGGCAGGAGACTCTGGAGGCTGGTCATCAGACCTGCAGCCCTTCACTCCAGGGTTAGTGGTTGCGCTAGGGTAAAGGTATGAGTGATAGAAGCCACTCGTCCAAGGACTGATTCTTATCATGGCAGAAAACGGATGGTCTGAGGTTCTTCAGTGGTACTTCAGAGTGGAAAGTGCCTTCCACCTTCCCAAACAGTGACAGACACTCGAAAACCTCCTTGAGCTTGATGACTCCCTGACTGCCCAGCTGCCCAGCCCTACAGCATAAAGCCTGGACTTATTCCAGGTCTCAGACATCCCAGAGCCTTCATGCCAGATGCAGGCTGGATCCCAGCGCCAAACTCAGCACATCAGTGGGGACAATTCTAGTGGTTTTCCTAGGACTAGTCTCAAGATACATTACATTGAATTCATTTGAATTAATTCTATTTAACTGAAACCTTTGTCATTATCACATATATCGTATCTATATCTATCTCTACATAACTATACATATTATATATATACATATATACATACACTTTCTTATGTATGTGGCTGGCTATTTCAGCTCCTCCTATTCAGTGAATGAACATATTTGGTTTACTCTTCCAGTACAAATTAAAAGCAACATTTTGCTGGAATGTGATGTGCATGAGTGCTTTAGATCTATTATATATATTTGGCTTTGGAGAAGCAACAGAAGTGAAGGAACAAAAATTAACATGTGTTTTTAGACATATAAGTAGCATACCGAGTCATTGCCAAAGAAATGACATTCCGTCGACAATATAGTCTTTAACATGCGGGACAGTTTATCACCAAGTAATATATGACTCAATGGCTAAATTTTGAATTTTCAAAATATTAAATTCTGTTTATATTTCCCCTTGGCAGGACATGAGTTAGTTCTCCAACATCTGTCCCGTTAAGAGCTGTTGCCAGAGCCGTGGCTGCCGCGTGCTCAGTGTCTGTTCCTTTTCATTAAATCCTGAGCCTAAAGCCCAAGAGGCCTGCCCTACTGCCCATCCCCACCCTCATTTTTGTGTCTTGAGATGACCAGTGTATGTTCTTTCACCCCTGTTTGGAGAGAGGTCTTTGGAGATTGGTTCTGTACTTAATTTGAGAGGTAAGACATGCACTCACTGACCTTTCTCTGGACCTCTTTGTGGCTTAGTTCCCTTGTGTGCATAATAAAAATTGTGTTAATTGAATCTTCCACCAAATGTATTATTTACATTGATTTGATTTTGAGGATATCTGGCTACTAGTAGAAAAACTAATGCCACTGCAAGTATAAAAAGAGAGAACAAATTTCTAAGAGATCGTACTGGCAGTTCTTTTCTTACATGTTAGCATCCTCTGAGTGGACCAGTATATGTAAACCAAGGAACAAATGTAAAGAATGTAAACATTAAACAAGATCATCTCAGTATGCAAAGGAATGGGCCAGAATTGAGATCTGCAATTCTATCAGGCTTTCTGTGTCTTGGAATTTAGTAAAAACAAGGAAATTGTCTCATTTCAAAGTCTTTTCTTTTACCTAATATGTTCTGAGAGAATGAGTTGGATGATTTCTGAGTAATTCTGACAGCTCATAAGCAGCTCTCTCTGTCAAAATGTTCTTCCTTTAAACAAAACAACAAAGCAAAAACCACCTTCTTGAGGGGGAAAAAGCATTTTGGTTGGCCCAAGCAAAAATTTGGCACTTCACCCTGAAATACTGGTCTTCTTTCCTCTCAGCCATCCTTCATCCTTCATCCTCCAGCATCTTGACTTATGCCGGCTGGGATGAGAAGCCACTCTTCTTAGTGGGGACAGTCAGTACTTGTCCTGAGTAGCTGAGTTCATGCTGCCAATGAGGTGGCAGACTCTGACTATTTGTACTTGGGGTGAGAGAACAGGAGATCGAGGAGGAGTGTAGGCAGGCCTTGTGTTACAGAATCTCTCCTGTTTAGTATATTGTCCTATCAAGTGCCAGCTGAGCACATTTATAGGGATGATGCCTATAGTCCCTCGATGATATATAAATGAGGAGTTATAACTGGCCGTTATTCCTAAATTCAGGTGGTGCTATTTCATATAGAAACTGACTTGGCATCATCTTGCTTTTGTCCACACTGAGGAGATTCCTGAGATGTGGGGCTTTTAGGGCTGAAACCGGGCTCGTCCTGGGTAAATGGGGACAGTTGGTCACACTAGTCAGAGTTCTTAAAATAAATTGAGAAATATCTTCTCAAGGAACATACTGAACCCAAAAAAATCAGAAGCTAGTGAGTGAAGTTACCATTATGTTAAAAAAAAAAAAAGGCAAAATCTGATTTGTTACTGGTTACTGTTGACAGTAAGTCATTTTGTTTTGGGGGTAAGAATGGTATTTTGCAGAAGGGAGGAAGTATATATCAGCCTTCGGAGTCTGTGTAGTACCACCAGAGATTACAAAAAGTTTTCACAAGATACTCACCCATTTGTGAAAGAAGATTGAGCTCAAATTTGCCTGCAGAACAAAACCATTCAGATGAAAAGGGGAAAAAAGTGAAGTAATTTTATGAATAAAAATAATGTTCTGTGGTTGCCTTTGGGCTAAAAATGTTTATGATATTTAAATTTGGAAAACAAAAATGTCCCCATTTATTACAATAATCCTGTTCTTCCTTTTTCTTCCTTCCTTCCTTCTCTCCCTCCTTCCCTCCTTCTTCTCCTTCCTCTCCTTCTCTCTTTCTCTCTCTCTCCCTCCCTAACCTTATAAGCTGACTGACTTTTTGTCAAAACGTTGTATGACTTGAGCACATTCAAATCTAGCAAGATCTTTGCCAGGACAGCCATGGAATCCTCACCTGTGCAAATAGACTGTTTTTTTCAGCATTTTTGAGGTTTGAAGGGGGCAGGTTTATGCTCCTAGCTTGCTGCCATCTGTGGAGTGTGTTGATTCAGAGATGTAATTTATATTGATGATATGATTTCCTCTGACTTCTGCCTGTGCCTTGATGGTTGTGTTTCACCTGTTGACATGAACTTGGCTGAAAGTTCATGAAAGTTGGCCATGGGTGAATTAGTTGCATGTGTGATAGCACCTTTCTGCTGTGTTCTTATTAATTTCAAATTTGTGTAATGGGATAAGTATGTTATTCCTTTAGAATTAGATATCCCTTTTCTAGGGCTTTGCATTTACATAATTCCTTTCTCCTACAGACCTCTGAATAAACTTTATAGTTTTATTCAAAGATGGATTACACTTGCCACCATCACATATGTCAGAAGGCATGCTTGTTACTTTTGGAAGTAGGCAAGTTGAATTAAATCAATTCTCTGTGGACTAATTGGACCTGCTTCTTAAATGTGAGAGTCTGTGACTATATTGTGTTCTCATTTCACATTTCACATTGTTCTTTGTACCCCTATATTATGGCCCCTAAATTGACCGGGATATTTGGTATTTGCCACATACTATATTTCAAATTGTGTAGCCACAAAAATTGAAGGTTGATGGACAAGTAAACCAACTCCATCTATTCCATCTGCCCTTTTTGCAAACCTGTTAAACTCTTCTTGAGGATAAGGATCATGTCTCAAAGCTTGTGTCCCCCACAATTCCTAACACAGTGTCTGACTCAGTACGCAATGGAGACTTTTGCTGATGAATTTACCCTCAATTATAATCAAATCATGGGGGTTATCTTGATTGCTGTCAGATCACTTATAAATAGAGCTAGAAACATTTAAATTAACTGGTAGGTAAGCTTAAAGTACTAGTCTAAATATAGAAAAGGACGTTTTTAAAGGAGGTAGTTAATGTTTTTCTTCTTAAGTTTGCCTTTGGTGGTGCATTATTGTGTCTTGAGACCAAATTTTTCAGAAATATCCCATAGGTAAATGAAGCAACCTAGAACATTAAAAAAAAAATTGAGGCTGTTTTAAACTTCTAAGGCTTACTTTGATTTTCATTAGCAAATTTTTAGAATACAACAAACAAAAATGTTGAAGACAATATGTAACAAAAGAATAAGGCAGGTGCATTAGCGTCCTATGCGCTCACAGCTCTAACAGCTTGTCTTCATGATGGACTTCATTTCTTTTTCTTTTTCTTTTCAGATTTTTTTTATTTATTTGAGAGAGAATGAGAGAGAGGGAGCATGAGCAGGGTGAGGGGCAGAGGGAGAAGCAGACCCCCCACTGAGGAGGGAGCCTGATGCGGGGCTCGATCCCGATCCGGGGACTCCTGGATCATGACCTGAGCCAAAGACAGATGCCTAACCGCCTGAGCCACCCAGGCGCCCCTGCATGGCTTCATTTCTGATTGTTATATGAAACTCAACATTTTTGGACACTATGTCTATATGTTTATCGAAACATATAAACATAGATACACATACATGTTTATCTTTTCCATATATCCTTTATATTTTTATATTTATTTCCCTTCTACTCCCCTCTACTTCTTTACCTTATATATCCTCATATTTTTGTCATATTTTGCCTTTATATTTCAGAGTTTGATTTATAATTTTGTAAGATGGTGAGAATAACTTTTTCCTTATTATAAA